AGCTCAGTCATATCGTTACTAACTACTAATCCAAATAAAATCAACTTACCTCTCTTTCATGGGCCGCACTTCCTCTTATTAGTTTTTATTTCAAAAATCTAGTTATTGACACATGGGTGATTCATACATTTCCTATCGTCGAAGTTGTTGAATGGGTTAATCGGGAACTCATGCCAACATCAATATAAAGTTCGAGTACTACTTTTTCGGGGGTTTATATTGTCCTTTATACTTGAGGTATACATCCCAGGTGAGATAAGATTGACATGAAGGTTATCTCGATCTAATGGAGAATATCTCCCTACACCTTACTCCAAATCGCGAAAATCCTATCAACTAGCGTTCCAGTAACTCCTATAGCGATCACTTGAGGTGAATCCTTTATGCAAATCAAATCCTAACTGCTAATGCTTCATAGGTACGCAGAGCAATTAAACCCTAATAATTGGCCCTTCTCGTGCAAGGGCATGGGCTAATTCAGCCACATTGTTCGCCACATGAACTGTGAGTCCATCATGATCTATCCGAGAAAGTCATGATCAATGTGCTCTTTAGAAATGAAGAGAGGATTTTTATGTTAGAGGGTTTAGAAATGAGATGAGATTTGAGGTGATGTGAATGAGAATTAGTCATTTATAAATGTCATATGCTACACGAAAGACCTAAACACGGCCATAAAAAAAGAAAAGAAATGAACATAAGTACATAACAACGATCAGAAAAAACAACTTTAAAATAACCTACTATAAATTAAAGATAACAAAAATGGCCACACGGCAACCATTACAAAGTAACGGTCATAAAGTAACGTCTTTTTTAAATAAAAAATATCAAGACGACCTAATGAAAATATCATAAATGCACAGATTTCTTCCCTTGTGGAGCGTACCTAGACTCTTTCCTTTGAGGACCAAATAGTTTATAGGTGGCACCATTGAGACACAGTTGACACAACTTCTGGTGCTTAACTAGTTTCGAGTTTCGTCCAGCTAAGCCTGCTGAAAAGGAAGCGGGAGACCACTATGAGCTGGTCCCGGCTCCTGAGCCTCGACTGCCTTGGCCATCCGAGTATTCACTCGCTTGCATCCTGCCGGATGGCCAGGTCGAGTTGACGAGTGCTGGTGGTCACACTCGTCATGTGCATGGCCACCATCTGAAGTTGTACCTCAAGAGCGATGTGGATCCGCTCTTGGAAGCACCTATTCCTACACCTCTCTGAGCATCCACCCTACTAGCGTCCAGCTAAAAGACGGTAAAGAAGCGCTTGTGGGGAGGCAACCCCACCAAGGTTTGTTTTCCTTTCGTTTATTTTCGGTTTGTCCACTTGGAACTATGGTTTCTATCACCTAGTGTGTTTTAATGACTCTAGCCCTGCTGACTGGTCCGATTTCCAGTCCCCCGATAGTTCGTATTTCCGATTGAGGGCAATGTCGTGCTTAAGTGTGTGTGTTGGAGGGGTGTTTATCTATTTTTGACTGCTAAATGAGTTCGTATGCTTGGAGCCTAGTCCACTGTCCAATTTGATGAATTGAGGGCTCCAAGTACTGTTTCCTGCAAAATCCTGCTTAGTATGCTTTGAATTGACAATCTTTATGGTGATATGCAACCTAGGGAGGTAATTGTAACACTATGGAGGATGTTGAAGTATAAGATTTTTCCTGTCTGTCTCTCGGCTGTGCCGGTTGATTTTGTGAACTAGTGGATTTAGGACCGTTGATTCATGTGGTATTGATAACTCCTTTTATTTTGTGGTGTGGACTCGTGCATCGAAAAAGGGTGCTCATATGTGAAATGAAGAGGCAGTTGGTCCTCCATGTCAACAACTTTGAAATCTTAAGACATGTGGTAAGCCCAACGTGTGTGGCTATGTTCATTGCACAAAATCGGGTTTTGGAAGAGACTTCAGTGATCCTTGGTGGGGTAGGCCTACAAGGTGAAGCTAAGTTGACTCTAGTACAAGTAAAATTTCCACCCGTTGAGCAGTTTGACTACTTAAGGATGTGTTTTTAAGGGCACGGATAGAGCTTCCGACCCCCCCCCTTAATTTCTTTGACCCTCCACACGAAGTGAGGAATAGGAGTTAAAAGAAGTACTCTGGCGAGTGACAGATATACAAAAATCGCTCTTGCTCACCTAATAAGGGAAGACCGTGCATACAAACTGTAGTTGGAACCCCAGCAAAGTAAAAAAAAAAAGAAAAAAAGAAACAAATAGTAGGAAGAAGGGGTTCCAACAAGTGAAATGAAATGAAAAGCACCCGATACAATGAGTCCTTGGTTGTTGAATTGTGTGAGTCTCCTTATCCATGAATTGACTATCTTAGTTCCACTGCTTCTCGTGATCCTGGCTTGAGTCTAGTACTCGCATTGAGAGAGATAGGGGGTGTCTTAGAAGACCAGTTGACCTCGTAAGCTGTTAAATTATCTATAAAATCCTCTATCGACGATCGGGGGTGCATGTTGCTATAGAGGTTTGGAGATCTGCATTGGTTTGAATCAGGTTTGCTTATAGACAAGCAAACAGTTAAGTGTGGCAGAATTTGATGACTTGATATATACACATGTTTTTGTCCACCATTCCTATACCGTTTGAGTCTCATCTCTCGTGTTTTAGGATGATTTCACGCTTGGTTGTTCTTGTTTGTGATATTTCAGGTCCTAATGCGTGAAGAAAGGTTTGTGCACGAGTTCGGGGTCGATTGGACGAAGTTGGGACGTTTGACGAAAAGCTGGAAATTCCACACGGCAAACCTAAATTCCACACGGCCGTGTGACTTGGCCGTGTGGAACCCCTTTGCGCGGCCAAAGCACACTGGCCGTGTAAAGGGCCCTTTTTGGCCATGTGGAATTCCCAGGGAGTTCACACAGGCAGACCTAAATTCCACACAGTCGTGTGGTTTTTGGCCGTGTAGCGTACCTGGAGTCACTAAATCGAACGCGGCGTTTTGGAGAGCCACACGAGCATACCTAAATTTCACACGCCCGTGTGGCCTGGCCGTGTGATCTAGCAGAACTGGGTTTGTAACCCAATTTCGGGTCTTTTGAAAGAGGGATCGATTTTCAAAGCTAGAAACAGAGTCCTATCGTAGAAGTTGTTGAATGGCTTAATCGGGAACTCATGCCAACATCAATATAAAGTTCTGAGTACCCCCTTTTTCGGGGGTTTATATTGTCCTTTATACTTGAGGTATACACCCCAGGTGAGATAAGATTGACGTGAAGGTTATCTCGATCTCCTACTATATGGAGTATATCTCCCTACACCTTACTCCAAATCGCGAAAATCCTATCAGCTAGCGTTCCAATAACTCCGATAGCGATCACTTGAGGTGAATCCTTTATTCAAATCAAATCCTAACTGGTAATGCTTCATACGTAAGCAAAGCAATTAAACCCAAACAATTGGCCCTTCTCGTGCAAACGCATGGGCTAATTCAGCCACGTTATTCGCCACATGAACTGTGAGTCCATCATGATCTATCAGAGAAAGTCATGATCAATGTGCTCTTTAGAAATGAAGAGAGGATTTTTGTGTTAGAGGGTTTAGAAATGAGATGAGATTTGAGGTGATGCCAATGAGAATTAGTCATTTATAAATGTCATATACTATACGAAAGACCTAAACTCGGCCATAACGAAAATAATACGACCCTGGGGTTGTATGCGATCGAAGTAACGCAGCTAACGACTCAATCGAAGGATCGATTGAGCTCGAATCAAGAATGAAGGGTTCTGAATACGAAATTGGATAAAACAGAACCAAAAGGACGATTCCACACCCGGGGAACGCTCGATTGGATTAAAGGGTAGTTGCTCGACCATGATTGAAGTGACTATTCAATCGATACACAAGCTCAGCAAGTTTGGAATCCACCAAACCCAAAACAAGTCGCAACTTGCACAAACCAAACCGTTTCGATTTCTATTCAACGAAGTCTGAATTTTACAACGAAATAGAACGGTATTTAAAGGCAAATAAAACCTAATACAATCCTATTCGAACTAGGAAACAATTAAGGTAAAAGTCTACACTAAAAAGGACACAAAATTCGGATTTAAACTCTCTTTCTTCAAGCGCAAGTAAGCTGCCAGAAACAGTCCAAAAGCAGCTTTCGTACTAACTTTACACTTTTCGTTCGAGGAGTTATGGTCTCGAATCAGACCCATGCTCCTCGAATTAAACTCCAAAGTAGGCTTCACAAAACAGTTTCCAGACTTAGCCATTTTCTGGCAGTTTTCCTGTTTTGAGGTAGCAACTTTGAGGCCTTGGAAAACAACCTTAATGACTTCTTCTGGATCCAAAAAGCATATCATTGGAAAGATGACAACTTTATATTTAAAAGAAGCACTTGAAATCCAATTTTCAGTGAGCCAATTGTGAGCAACATGCCTCCAAAGTAGGCATCTCGAAACTGTTCAAACACTTAACAAAATTTTGCCTTTCTTCTTCCCAACTTCGATAGCTTCTTTGTCAAGTAATTGTGACGTGAATGGTTGACAATTTGGGATCATATCAGAAAAGAAAAGAAAAAAAGAACATAACAACGGTCAGAAAACAACTTTAAAATAACTTATTATAAATTAAAGAAATTAAAGATAACAAAAATGAGCAGACGCCAACAACCACAAAGTAACGGCCATAAAGTAACGTCTTTTTTTCTTAAAGATCAAGACGACCTAATGAAAATATCATAAATGTAGAGATTTCTTCCCTTGTGCAGCGTACCTAGACTCTTTCCTTTGAAGACCAAATAGTTTATAGGTGGCACCATTGAGACACAGTTGACACAACTTGTGGGGCTTAACTAGTTTCGAGTTTCGTCTTCTCAGACCTGCTGAAAGTTTGCTCATCCTACATCCATCCTCGAAGAGGTAATGTGATTCATCAATTCATGCCATTTCATAAGTTCGGGTGCTTTTCTTTGCCGAATCTGTTTCCTCACTGGTTAGGAGTTATCTCGATTCTATACATATAACTGGTTGGACCCTGTTTCTTGTTCCTCTGATTTGGGTGCAGTTATACTATGGTCAAGAAGAAGATGCCTCCGAAGCCAAAGGTTGATAGAATTAGTAAGCTTCCTGTCCATCTTATACAGCTTATTCTCACGTCATTGCCCATAAAAGAAGCTGGGAGAACAAGTGTACTGTCGAGAGAATGGAGGCACCATTGGAAAAGTATCACCCACCTTGTGTTTGACAAAGATTTCGATTCACCGGATTACAGTGATTCTGATGAAGAAATTAGTGCTGATAAGCTAATGTCGAGCATCCAGAAAACTCTGCAGGTTCACGATGGGCCTATAACAGAGTGTGTGGTTTCGAATTATCGGTTAACAACTACTGTCGAGATCGACCCCTTGATTTCACACCTTATCGAGAAAGGGGTCTCGCGCCTTTCCCTTCTGTACTGTTGTCGCGATGACAGTCAACAGTACGAAGACGAGATCGACCCTTCCCTTTTTCGTGCTGTTCAAGTGGACAGGCTGAAACTGCAGGGATGTGAACTTGTCGAACCGTCTTGGTTTACCGGATTTACCAGGCTGACCTCTCTTCACTTGGACATCGTTGGTCTGCCCGAAGATTTCTTCGATAGTTTCCTTCTGAACTGTCCCCTGCTTGAGGATTTGAGGGTTTTCTACTTTCGGGGTCTTAATATAGTTGAAGTTGAGGCTCCACCGCGCCTCAAAGTGTGTATCCTGAGGGCAGATCTCGGTCTAGTTGATATTAGCTTCAGCTATGCTCCACTTCTGTCTGTTGTCTCAATTCATGCGGAAGAGTGCGGAGACGAACCTGAAACAGATGTGGTCTCTTTATTTGCTTCTCTCCCGGCACTCCAAAGGTTTTACATTAGCTTTGAGTGCCTTGAAGTAAGTTTCGTTCGTTAAACAGTTGTGACCTCTTTTTCGTAGTCCCGAAATGCCTGGATTTGCGCTTCTCAAATCTGTTGTTTGGTTTTCTTTTATAGTTACTTGCTGCAGGTTCTGTTCCCGACAGGCTTCCGGTTGCGCTTCACTGCTTAGAAGTTCTTGACATTCGCAGATGTGACGATGAAGACAGTTCGCTTGAGCTGGAGCTTGTCCTTTGTCTCATCAGAAGTTCCCCCAACTTGAATAAACTTACAATTAAGGTTGGTCTTGTGATAGATACTCTCTACATCATACCTTTTGCACTACATACGACTGTGTTCACTGTCCAGGCTTTTGGTTTTTTATGTATTTTCTTCAATAGACTAAATTTGTTCATTCATTAAACGCTTGCAGATGGACGTTGACGAAGACTTGCGTTTTAAAGGGGATTTGAAGCTGTCGGAACGTGAACCAGAGGCACATCCTGAAGATGAAGATAGCTTCTGTCAGCATCTTGACGAAGTCGAAATTCGGCTCAGTGGATTCTCTCAGGTTGAGCTGGACCTGTTGAGGTTCGTGTTGGCCAACGCCCCGCTACTGAGAAGGATTGTCATTCAGCCTAAGAGCAGATTGAGGTGGGAAAAATGCCTCAAGTTCCTGGGAGAGATTAAAGAGTATGATTGTGCTTCAAAAAATGTAGAGATCATATATGTGAACAAGTCTGGTGTGATGTTCTTCAGTATGAGACTGGCAAATGTTTAACTTATATTATCCAGGTCCTTGGATCACGGGGGAGCCATGCTTGTTTGTTTTCTTGTCAGAAATTACTTTATAGCTCTATTATGGGACAACAAGACTAGAAAGAGTGCCATATATACAATACAGAGAAAATATGAAGCACAAATGATGGCCTTACATTAATGCACTGACCTCTCGTCCCAATCGTATATAATCTCAGCTTCCCTCGACGCATGCTTGAATCCAATCATCGTTTTTAGGTGAATGGCAACTCTATAATGACCCACATTACGACTAGGCCTAATGTAGACTCTGCGAAGCTGCGGGGCTTTGGCTAAAACAAACTTCACAAGCTCTAGTTCTATTCGCGACTCAGAGCCTGGACCGTTGTGAATGTTCAATGATTCGAGACAACCTAGGCAACCATTCGTCCCATAAGGGTCCAGTTCCGCTGCTTCGAGCAACATCTGTATGCTGTCAATAAGGGTCGTTGGACGGCTTCGTTGATACCCCACATCGTGCTATAAGAACATTTGTCCAAATAAGTGAAAATTGTGTAGTCAGGCAGGCATAGCAAAAGTGAATATAGAATTTCGGATTTAGAACACCGCAAAGAAACCAAATGATTGTGTAATCACACAAGAACATATAGTATAAGCCATAAGGCAACCACTTCAATTCCAAAATTCAAAGTTGATCACAACTGCAAGAAAAGAACTGTGAAGAAAAACATACCCGTATGGTGAGGCAGCGCAGGTTGGGAGAACTCATGATTAGACAAACAAGAATCCTTGCATCCTTCAAACAAGACAGAATAATCTTTGGTATTTCAAGTACTGTCAAGTGTTGAAGAAGAGTAGGAAGCCTGGCGGGGATACTGCCCATAAGTGACTACAACAAACACAGTAAGATAACCAGAATGAGTAAACAGAGAGAAACCACCAAGGCATGCAAGGTTGAGCAAGCTAAGTAGCAGAAGGAGAATGCAAACTCACTATAAGAAGTTCAAGACCAAGATTCAATTGCTTGAGTGCAGGAAGGGAAGCAAATACATTGACCATATCCATATCGTCACCCTCAATGACAATATTAGACTCATAGTCATCTTCATCAGGATCCAGCATGGATACCAAGGAAAGAAGTGGGGTGCACTTAAAGGAAAATGATACCAGGAAACGAGAATGAAAGTAAAGCGCTTTGAGGCGAGGGGCAACAAGCTTAGGAGATTCAAAACCATGACAGTTCAAAAGCGTCAATTTTTCAAGCAGAGGGCACTTGGTGATGAATTTCTCAAAGAAATCCGAGGCCAGAGCTACTTCTTTCAGTTCCAGAGCGGTAAGCTTGCTAAATCCAACAGTCAGTGATGTCTGTATAACTGGTCCAGTTCCAGGAGCCCAGACACGTTTCTCACCAGACGGGTCCACTTTACGGCATTCCCCGAATCGAAGGCTAAATTCATCGGTAACTTTGTCCGAGAGATACAAAATAATGTGCTCAATCTCAGGACAGGGTCTCAATCCTGGAACCGAAAGGACAAACTTGTCTATCGGCCCATCATGGAGCAGCAGAACTCTGTAAACTTTCATCATTAGCTTGTTTAGCTTGACTTGACTGGGAGACGCCAGAGGGATTCTACCAAACTTACGATCGAACACGAGTGCTGGAATGCTTCTCCAACGGTTCCTCCATTTCTTGGACCACAGGCTTGCTTTCGCTGCTTCTTTAATGGGCATCGAGGTCAGAATTTGATCAGTCACGTTGGCTGGAAGGTTGCTAATTCGATCAGCAGTTGACAACTCGCAGCTGCAGCAGGCCCTCTTCATCATTGCAATATCTTCTCCATACAGAAATAACATAACAACTATGATGAGAGAACTTCAATTCGGAAGAGAGCTCGTTAGAACCAATTCGTGAACTTTCAGAACATAAAGCGGTGAGGTAATTACCTTGTTGAGATTGAGTTCCCGCGTAGATCTGAAAACCCCAAAATCAGTAAAGCCCTAAACTCCTCCGTCTAGCGCTGCAATCAGTTCCCTAGAGTAACCTTCACCCCGTTGCCGACGGCTTACCGGCGATTGTTCCCTAGAGTAAAGATCCTTCCAACGTTGCTAATCACCGATTCTCGTCACTCCCTTGGCGCAACAGTCGGTCTTTGCGCCGCCGTCCTCTTCTTACCGGCGGTATAATCCAGATCCGGCCAAACGCCGGTCACGATTCTTCTGATTCTAATCGTCTCTACCGTAGATCTCAGGCGCTACCATCTGAAGCTATTTCGTCCAGCTGCCGAAACCTTTCTGTTCATCTCACCATCTGGGCGTCGAGAGAGATGGAAATAGGGGATTAGATAAACATGAGAGAGATGAAACTACTCTGCTGGCCAATAATGCCGCTTCCTTTTTTTTTTTTAACTTTTTTACCAATTTTTGGAGTTTCATATAGCAAAGAGGCCACCATACTTTGTATCCATTACAAACACACCCCCTGAACTTCCATATCAAACAAGAAATACGTATGCAAGTTAGATTCTTTCATCGATATGTTGATTAGTATTAACTGCCGTTTCTATATTTCAATCTCTTGTACTCTCATATCAATTTACAATCTGTCTATTCCTATGTTTGGTCCAGCTTTTAGAAGTGATTTTCGGTTTCAAAAGCTGAAGCAGGCCAAACACCTGTAAAAGCTCGACTTTTGAAAAGCCGAAAAGCTCTTTTATTATCTCTTTAAAAGAACAAGTTACAAGTTTACTGTTTGGTAGAGTCACATCCAAACACTGTTACTTGTTTTCCATTTTTTGCACTTTTTCCACTCATTTTTTACTGACTTTGGGTCTGCCACGTTCAGGCGGCTCCTGTGATGGAGATGGTTGCGTTGCTTTTCTACCGTTTTGCCGTCGTTCTATTAGTTTTACTTTACTTTTCAGTTCTCGATCTTTGGCCCCTCTGCTTCACTTGTTTCGAGAAGGGAGCCTTTGTCCCTTTTGGAACTCTTTCCATTCCCATATCCTGACATTTGCTTCTGTTACACTACCTTAGTTCCCACCATACTTTTTCAGATCTGCTTTCTCTCTTCCTCTCTTTTTGTATTGAACGACGAAGAAGAAACATGGTGAAGCAGAAGAGAAGGAAGATCGAGGCGCCCATAGCTGAAGAAGGTGAAGTAGAACTCTAAAATGACAGAAGAATCAGGCATAATAGGGCAAAAATCAGTAGCCCACAGAACCCACCATCATCCATGAAGATAGATTCGGTACCTTCTTTCTCTTTGCTCTTGTTTCTAGGTTCTTTTTGTATTTTTTGGGTTCATCCTTCTTTTCTGTTTTTGCTTCACCTTCTCACAGAACTCCTGCCACCCACCAATCAGTCTCCATCTCTCTCTTTCTTTCATTGGAAGAAGACGAAGCCAGAAGGAGAACCAGGAGGAGAAGAGGAAGGAACAGCGGTGGGTTTCTTTCTCCCTTTCTTTCTCCTGTTTTCTGGGTTTTTAGCCGAACGTATTTGATGGATTTCGTTCATCATCTTCCCCATTCTTTTCAGATCAAAGGGACGAAGACAACGAGATTATGGCTACAGAAAGTGATCCTTCTGTTTTCGCAGACGATAGAAACGACGAGGGCTGGGTTCACGACGAGGGATGGTTCGCGATGGTGGTAGGTTGCTAGCTTCTCTTTCATTGATTTTTGCTTTCAGACGACTTCTGCGCTTGCTGGGTTTGGGTATAGATTCTGATTTTCACCATACTTCTGGGTTTGGTTCATCCTTTTGTTCATTCCGATTCGCAGAAGGTAGAAAAGGCGAGGGCTGGGTTTGCCTCGGTGGTAGGTTGCTAGCTTCTCTCTCATTGATTTTTGCTTTCAGACAAGAGCAAGAGCGAGGGTGGTAGCCGGCGCCAGTGGGCGGTTTTCTTTGCTATCACTGCTCTGATCATCGCTCTGGCCGCTGCTTCCACCGCCTCCCCCAAGATCTCTCTCTTCGGTAAAGTCAATAAGCTCTGCAGCTGCTCCCAGCAGCAGGTACGTTTTATTCTGTTCGAATTCTGTAATCTTTGCCTCCGTTTGACTTGGTCTGCGGCTCGGGGATTGACATGCATTATTATAGAAGTTCATAGCTTTGTGAATCGTATTAGACCTGGTATTCTATTTCGAATGCTTTGCGATTCAGGGATTCAGGGGCGATTTGAGATTCTGTCCCCATCTGAGTGTTCGTTTTACATCCTTGTTTCAGCTGATTTTGACTGGGCAGTTCTTAATTTCGTCTGTGTGCGCACAGAAATATACTGGGATTGTGGAAGATTGCTGTTGCAACTACGAGACGGCTAACCTTTTGAACGAGGAAGTATTGTATCCGTCTCTCCAGGAGCTTGTGAAAACCCCATTCTTCCGTTATTTCAAGGTCCTTCCCCCCAAACTCCACTGGGTTCTCATTAAAGTTAGGAACTTGTCATTTTCAAAGCATTACTATACATGTTGCCGTGCCAGCAATTTCTTTGCTTTGTGATCAAGAAGCATGATTCTGTAATTGCATTTGTCTTTATCTCTTGCTGCTCATTCCCGATCATACTGAACTGATAATGTTGTTTGCTTGGTTAGCTTTTCTTGTGGCTGATTTTTCTTTGGCCATTTGTGCTCTCTAATAGGTGAAATTATGGTGTGACTGTCCTTTCTGGCCGGATGATGGCATGTGCAAATTGAGGGATTGCAGTGTCTGTGAATGTCCGGATAATGAGTTCCCTGAGTTGTTTAAGAGGCCTTTCCGCCGTGGTCTGCCCTCAGATGCGCCTATTTGTCAAGAAGGCAAGCCGGAGGCTGCCGTCGATCGCACCCTTGATCATAGAGCTTTTAGGGGTTGGACAGTGACTGATAACCCATGGACAAATGATTATGAGACTAACAATGGTTAGTCCCCTTTCTGGTCCCTAAGCTTCAAAGATATGAAATTGGTGTCGTTTTCATTTATGTTTGTCTTTACGTTTCATCCTATAAATCTTTTATGTTTGTGGTTTGAGTTGGGATTGGTATTCACTATTCTGCCACCCCTGATGTAAAACTACTAATGATCAGATCTCACAATTTATTGCTACTATTTGTCTGGTTAAAGATAGTTTATATTGAGCTATCAAATGTTGCTGCTAATGCAACTTTTCATTTACAGATGAGATGACGTATGTGAATCTGCAACTGAATCCTGAACGCTATACTGGATACACTGGTCCATCAGCTAGAAGGATATGGGATGCTGTTTACTCTGAGAACTGTCCCAAGTGTAAGTGCAGCTCTTACTTGCTTGGCGAATTGGTCTTTCTATTTTGACGAACATGCTTGTCTAATTGTTTTCATAGAAGAATTAGAATGACTTGCTTATAAACTTTGACTTCTGAGGGATCTTACTATATTAACTTCCTTTACCTATGTTTGTTTATCCTGCTGTACACTGTATTTCTGGGTTTGGTTCATACTTTTGTCCATTATTTCTTACTGAAGGAACGACAATGCAACCAGATCATGGCCGGAGTGAGAGAATCACTCAAGAGGAAAAAGGAACATTGGCTTTGAAGATCATGGAAGGAGTAAGTGAACCAGCGTTTACACAAAACGAAGTTGACTTATGTTTGATCCAAATTCATTTGGAATCTTGTTTTAATTAGTGTTGGAGTTAGAAAACGAGAGGTCTAATCTTCCTCGATTAATTAGTCAGGTGGCCAACGTTGTTAACGAGTTTAGCTGCCTTTTTGTTTGCTATTGTAAGCTCTGTTCTATGACCCTTCATACAAACTTATTTATGTTTATATCCAAATGCTAGGATGTTGGAGAATTCGATCGGTAGATACACCGGTTGTCCCCTCTGAAGCATGACAGATAGAGGGCCACCAAAGTGGTTCGGGTTAGTTTCGCTTATTGTTTTGGTTGCATGATTTCCTTCTTTTGCGTGCCTGTATATTGGGATCTGATGAGGGTTTTTACTTACGGTGTCTTCTTTAAGTTGTTGCAGTACATTGCTTACAATATGTTTGATCTACATCTGCTGCCGGGGAGGATAGAAGGAACCTAACCAAGCTTTTCAGTAGCAAGCATGTTTGGGAAGCAGAAGCCGATGTCAAACTGGTTGGGTTGTGGCGATTTAGATTTGGAGCAAACCCATTTTTAATCGCGGTGATCATTTTACTTTTCTTTGGTTGTGCTAGAAGTATAGATTATAATGACCGCTATCAGTGTTGAAACACATTCTGCTTATGATGGTCCCTAACATTATAGATTTTATGGTTTGGTTTTGTTTGTGCCTATGGATTTATGGTTGCCCATATGCTTTGCTCTACAGTTTGTAGCCGGTCTGTTCTGATGTGCCAGCAAGGGTACATGGAACTGTGGATTAGGAGGTATAGCGATGCACAACTCAACTTGCGTCTGCATTGCTTCATTATGATTATTTGAGGTTTGTTCTTCTGTAACTTCTTCTTTTATTCCCTTTACATGTTCTGTTCTCTAATGTGGTCTCGGTTCCTTTTACCCCTTTTTGCCAGAGTTTTACTGTACCAATAGGGCATGCGTTGCATATGCACTTGAGAGGACTAGAGCTGAATATTGTTATTCTAGGATGAGGAGGAGAAGGTCATGTTACAGCCAGGTATTTGTTTTCCTATAACGGTCTGAAACTTTGGTTCCTACAAACCCAGTTTTAAGTTTTCATGATGTGAAATAATTTGAATGATCTTTAGCAAGCAACCATGTGGGGAAAAAAAATACCATAGCTACTAGATAATTGGTGAAGTTTAATCAAATGATAAATGCCAGATTGCCTGCTCAATTCCCAAAGAGTTGTTGAATTAGTAAATAATTCATATATTCAATTGTGTTAATTTTATTGTTTTCATGTACCTTATATGTAATTTATAAAAGGTGTTTGCAGCCACTAACTACTTGGTTATTAATTGGTATGTTTTCAAAATGATTTACTCCTCAAACCAACAGTTAGGTGGCCTGACAACTCTATGTTTTCAAAATGATTCACTCTCCTTTCCTTTAGCTATGGACTCTGCTGGTGTTTCATTTAAAGAATTTCAGTTATGGTGTGGAGAAGAATTCCAATTTCGTTTTTATTCTCATTTCCACTCTCTCTTTCTGATTTTGTGTGAGTGTTTATGTTCTCTTCCTTCGAGATGGGTGCCTATTTTAATCACAAATGCCGGATTTGTGAGGTTCAGCGGCAGTGCGGAGAAGAAACTAATCTCCAGTTTCCACGACGCTTTTAGATTTCAAGTGATGGTTCTCTCTCTGTGATTAGTTTGTTTACTCTCTTTTCTTGATGGTTTTGTTTTCATTCTTTTGTCAGGGGGTTTCTTCATCCGCTTTCAAAGGAGGTTCGGACGGTGAGTTCTGTGGCAAATGAATTGATCCTATTTTTGTTGTTTGTGCCAATTGTGATTGCATATATGTCATATTGTTTTCATTCCTATATCTGTGCGAGTTGTATATGTTTAGTCCATTTTATTTTTGATGTTTAATCTGTTTGTTTCAATCACAGGATAATGATTGTAATGTCGTGCTACCTAGAAACATGAATTGTGAATAAAACTTGATTCAGTATCTCAGTCAAGTTTGGATCTTACCACGTGACGGATCCATGGCGAAGGAAATTGTAGTCATTCGCAGACTTTTTCCAACATGGTAATTGTTCTTTTAGAATGATTGGGTTTTGTCGAATTTGATTTTGCCGTTCAGCTTCTGCAACTGGATCTTGGGTAGAGTAATAGAAAGAAAAAAAATGGTAGGAGATAATCATCTGAGTCACTTTAATGCGTAAGTAGTAGGCTTCGTGAATTATTCTATTGCATTCTGTTCTTTGTGGTAGTGATTGGTATACCCTTATGAGTTCTGGTGTTACAGTGCCACAATTGGGGTTCTTATTAAAATCTCTTTAATAGGGTTAGATTAGAATGGTTAGAATAATTTGTGTATGGTTGGTCATTGGTTCCAACCATCGTGCTTAACAGTGTACTTTTTACTCTACTGGTTTTAGTATTGACTAGCCTTGGCTCCGGATCGTTTTATGCTAAAGATTCCTATGTTTTGTTTCCCTTATAGATCAAGTCAAGTTGGTTCTCGTGCTCGGTTGGACCTTCAGGTGAGCCTCCGTTGACGTGCTTTGGGGTGTCGTGAGAATCATGCTTTTTTTCATTTTTGTTCCCCATAAGTTTTGTTGTTTTCTCTCCTGAATCCCTTGTATTTTAGCGGGGGATATCACCACTTGAAAACTTGCTGCATACTGTGTTGCATCTCCAGCAGGCTGAGTTGCATGTTTGTCAGTTCACACGGACAAAGGTGCTGGGGATTGATGATTTCAGAGCTAGAGAGCAGAATGCATTTCATAAAACTTCTCATTGATATTAGCCATTGATGTTGCATACTTCTATTAATCCATCACGGGGGATGAAAAGTGAATGGGTTTTTTCTTCTGTGTTGCAGGTTTAACTGTATGTTCCCTTTGCATCCGTGCAGCCAAGGAGTAATAAGTCGGCTTGGGGTGGGTCTCCTCAGCCCCTTCTCTGGAAATGTCAAGCAACGACAGGGGAGACGACATTAGTAGCCAGGGAGGATTCTCAAGCCAGAGCATGCTGATTCTCTTGCCCTTTGAGTTGATGGGATTTTCTGAGAGCTGAGTTGATCGTGGAATCTCAGCGAAATGCCGCTGGACCATTAGATGTATGCTTTGCGAAACCTTCCCTCCCGTCGTCGTGAACTCAGGTCTCTCTCTCCCCCACCCTCCTTCTCCTTCCCCTGCCATTTTTTCCCTTTTTTCCTGCGGTTACTGAATGGCAATTCCTTGGCTTTTTCCTCCCATCCCCCAATCATATATGAGTTGGGTTTCAGGTTTTGATTGTTTGTCGGGTTTGAGAGATTGACGGTCGGGTTGGGGAAGAAGCAGGTTCGATGTTTTGGATTTTCATTTTTAGGTTATTGTTTTTCTGATTTTCCTTGAATGTGATCATGCCCTCTTTTCCTGTTTTAGAAGAGCACGTCTGGTCTTGGAGATTTTATAATCGAATTCGCTGATGGGGATTTGGGGAGGTAAGACACTGTCGGCAACATCGTCGTAATCATATCCTCTTGAGACAGTGGCTAGGCATAGGCGAAGGTAATTTTATATGTCTTTTCCTTATATTTTTTTCCCTTCTCCCCCTGGTAATCTGTCTTGTTTTATCTTTCTGATTCATCGCTTTTGTTTGCTATTTCGGATAGCGATTCGGTATTTTAGAGTTGACAATCGATCTGAACTTTAGAGTCGTCAGAGCGGGCAAGCGAACCAGAAACATCATTTGAAGTTTCTCCCTCCGTTTCACTTTGATCTAATTAGTTTTGTTGTTGTCAAAGATTCATTCGGTGGAGGAACTTCTATTTTAGGACTCTCTTTCTCAATTTTCCAGATTTACTGTGAGAAGAGTCTAGGGAGTTGCATAAACAAACGTGAACTCTCGATTTTACCTTTTTAGTATTTTGGGTTCTATATCTGCATTGACGTCCATGATCGACCCATTTAAGCTTTCTTTTTCCCTTTCGTTTGATTTCCGAGTGTGGAGAACTCGGTAGAGGTCTTTCACAGATGGCAGGTTGATTAATAATTGTGTGGAAACATAATTAGGGGACTTCCCCTATTCTAACTGTCCTTTGAGTCTAACTCCATAAAAAAATGTATGTCAGTTCCCTTACGTGTGACCTCTTCATGGGATTTCAAGGTCTGTGTTCTTTTTCTTATTGAGTATTGAGATCAAAATGGTCGTTTTGGTTATCTATTAAATGTATGTGGTGCATAGATGTGCAGGTAATGCTTGCCTTTGGATTAACCAAAAACTGGAGTACCTGTACTATAACTTCTGGAGAGGACAGTTGATTGGGAGCAGCAACTCCAGAAAGCATATATGTGCTTTTGAAGTAGGTCCAGGTTAGCCACTGTTCTCTGTGAATTTTGCAGTTTTTGCTATGACAGAAGTAATCTTTATTTTGCTCTACCTTAGATACTACTATTTTCATGAATCTGAGTATTTTTATGGTTTATGAATGTTGATGTGCAATAATATATTGCTTGCTTTCTAAGTGTTCTTGAGAAGGTAGGACTGGACAAAATTGAACCATCACACATAATGTCGTGATCTCCATTTTGTGTGCAGTTGCCTTTACATTGCAGATTTGTCCCCTTTGTTGGTAATTATGTCCCTTTAGGGGTTGTTCCCCCCTTATATGACTACACTAACTAGACTACTCTACTTGACAGCAGTATCACTTATTCTTCTTCATTTAACATCACATTCCTCATATCTCAATGAAGTTGAGACTATTGGAGCTACCTACTGAATGTAAGTACTGATACAAGTGTTGCCAGTAATGCATTATCTACATGTTAAATTAGCATTCGGTTTTGGTTGTGTTGCCCTTTTCTTTGTGTGGTTTATTTTTGCCACTAAGACCAATACTGAAAAAAGTGATTGGCAAAAGCCATTTCAAGATATGACAAAGAATGAACATGGTGTATCAGCATGCTGCCATTTTGTGTGTGTTGAATTTGTAACCTTAGAGAGATGGTGATAAAAATCAGCTTATCAGGATGCCATGGCTAGACTTGGCACTATTCTCATGAACAAGTTTACACGTTCATAATAATTGCTATTTCCCATTAAAAATCTTTTATATGTTCTTTTTTTTGTTTTATTTGCTCGACCCCTACAGTGCACTGCCATTTTCATTCTGTTTTAGGTTCGGCGAGGTTGATTATGCTTTCTTAAGCTGCTCAGTGAACACTGCTGAACTCCAGGTTTACATCTATTCGCGCCTCTTTATATCTAAAACTCTTTGCTTGCTTACAATGTCAGCTCAGAGCTTTATTACAAATCAGATTGCTTGCTTTTATGCCTGGGTTTGCAGGTATGCATTTGAGGACTTATAGGCTGAACTGTAAGCATCTTATTCTGCAACATTTAAATTGGTGAGATTTCTAGGCTGAAATGGACTCAATTTCTTAGCATTCTGTAATTGAATAGAAATAGAAGTTTTATTGGTATTATGGAATCACAGAGGAGGATAAAAATAAAGTTCCTTAAACTAAAGCAACCGTCTTTCATGTCAATTTCTCCTCAATCCACAGTTTCTTTCAATTGATGAACATATGTTGCCATGGGATGAAGAAACCGAACTTCCTGTGGCGTGTGGTTCATAAATTTTTCTTTAACCTTTAATCAATTTCTTTTTTATTAGTATGATGTTATCTTATATATAAACACAGGTTCATGATAGTTACTCCTACTGATTCTGTAAGTTGAATTGCTATAGTGTTTCAATAGGTTGTTTTTGCGCCCAGCTGTTGGCTCCTTGATGTAAGGAATATGAATTGTGTGTTTGTATTGACGTGACCGAGCTGTTGTCGGACATGTTGGACAGCAGGAGCCTCGACGCTGATCGTGGGCGCCGAAATTCTAGACTGCAACGAAGAGGAATGTGAATCGTGTGTTTGTATTGACATTGAGAAGGGGCATTTATACCCACAATTGTACAGGTTCATGTATGACAAGGAAACTTGCGTCAACATGAATAAAGATTTATCCCTAATACATGGAACTTACCCTCTACTATCCATTTATGTCTATGGATGCCATATGATTTTTGATAGGTTCATTTGACTGATTTTTTGGGATGGATTTCTAACTAAATTCTGTAATTGCTTTCTAGGTATTTTAATTATCACCAGCTGAAGTTCAATCTATGCCTGATCCCCGCTCATCCATTTTCACTTTCTTTTTAGATTTCTTGGTTTCTATATATTGCTGTATCCAGTGTTGTTCGAGCCGTGTAAAAGG